CGCCTGAAGTCGCCAAATGTACTTTCATTATTTAACAAAATTATATACATATAAGTACATTTTGCGCCTTAACAAAATTATATATAATATTTAAGTACACTTAGCGCTTGAAGTCGCCAAATGTACTTTCATTATTTAACTAATTAGAAACTGAAACTGACCAAAATGACAGTGTAAAAACATACGTAGGACACCGCATATTGCTTGCACTCTTCTGATTTGTCAGTTGTTAAGTGTGATTGACACTCCGAAATGTCCATTTCACAATTGGATAAATAAAAAGCTTTTTAGAGAAGTTGGATTTATTTTTAATTTTTGTATTTTGCAGATGGTGGTACCGACTCACTGCTGGTGGCTGCCATCATCATTGGTACAGTTGTTGGTTTCATGCTCATCATAATCCTTATGGTGTGCTGCTTCCTTGTCGTCATTGGCAGACGTCGCGACAGACAAAGGCAACAGATCAAACAATATACTGCTCAACCAAGAGGTTTTGTTGTTCGTAACCCCAATTCAGGCAGTTTGTTTGGAGCCACAAACTATCCATTTGTCCAGGAAGCTGAATCAATTTCTGGGAGCTCTTCAATCAATGGCGAAGAATCTAGACTACTACATCTTGCTCAAGTACTCACAAATGCACCATATCTCAATGTAAGTTTATTCATTAAATAAGCTTTTAATAAAACTGTTTCAAATTTAATGAATGCTTACATTTTGAATCATACAAATTAAGAAAAAAAAACCATTAATATGCAACCATATCATTATAGAGGTCATTAGAAAAGGTAAATCGGTAGTAAAACAGGGTACCGGTACTGTATATGAAATATACATGAAACACATTATATTACACACACTTTTTCGATATTATTAATAATTGCTTACATTATTGATCGATTGTTTTTTTCTATCTGAATACGGGCCGGATGAAATTATGAAATGTATCTAGTCACGGAAGGACAATCAAGCTCAAGATTAACTGATAAAGAAAGATGATTAATCAGTTTTTATGACGAAATAGTCATTAATCAGAATACAATAATAATTATTATTATTATCAATATAAATTATTCCTATTGAATACAGTATTTAGATTTTTGTGTTAGTATCGGTACATGTTTCACGTGTAGAGCGCACGGCAGTTCCGAGAAGCCTGAAAAGTGATCAATGCGTGTATAAAAACACTTATCGAGTTTGATTTTTTTTATCTCCCTTAGAATCATATGAGGTCGAGAATGTCAGAGACATATTCGGAGGCGGACACCAACGATTCAGAATTTATTAGACCATATATAGCTACAGGAATGGAGGCAAGCAGCATAGAGGTAAATTGGATTTCGTCATACTTAATAGATGATTAAGAATAATATTTACTCCACCCACCACCACGACTACTATTAAAATATATTATTATTACTGCTACATATTACTATTATAATTACTATTATTATATTATTAATAATCTTAATATCATTATTGTTGTTATTGATATTGTTATAAGTATTGCCATACAGCAAACTCAAAATGTTTGCATATTTCAACCATATATATATCCACGACACACACTTTATTAAAAATCATGATTTTATTCTAATTTGTAGCAAGACGAATATGAAGATAGGCCCTCAGCACACAAACGAACCAGAAGAAATAAAAAATTTCCTCACGCTTTCAAAAATAGGTCTATACATCTCTTCGATGACCAAAACAGACCATCTACTTCTCACAATATGAACGAGCGCCACCAATACTATTTCTAAATATTTAGTTAAGCCTGCATTGCATTTGCAGAGGTTTCTCCATGCTTCTTTTTTTATTTTTTATACCTGTGTAGAAATCTTCATTCTCACGTCTATGCATATTTAATTAAACTACGCGGGTCGTTGTACTGTTCAATAAATATTGTGCTACTAAGTATATGTTCTTACAAGACAATATCATTCTGTATCTCTCAAAATTGTATTTACTTATTTTCACGTAGCCAATTGTAGGCTTACAATATACTTTAATAGCCAGATGAAAAAAAAAACCCTCTGTTATTACGAATGTAAAATGCGTGTTCTGATTATACTACGTTGCCTTTAGATGAGCCTTCACGTCCACAGTGGCGGATTCAAGGGGGGGAGCCGGCCAGGGGCCCCTAAATTTTTAAAAATAAAAAAAAATAGGAAAAAAAAATTGCCATTTCCGGCCATCTAGAGGTGACATAATAATAAATTTTCGTACCTCAGCCCCACCGTGGGGCTGATGTAGTATAGACCCTCCATCTGTGGAAGTACCGTACCTATCTGGGCCCTGTCTATTTCAAATTCCGGATCCGCCACTGGTCCAGCAAAAGAAACAAGCATTATTAGGATTTCAAAGCTACTGAAGTAGTACAGTACTAGCAGCTGAACAAAAGGTAAGGTGTAAACTAACATGACGTTAGACTAACATGACGTATTCGCTATGAATGAAAACACATTATATTGACATTACGAATGTTTTCTCATTTTACTTTCTAATTGAAAGTTAATGCCCTATTTGAACTGCAAGTTAAGGAGTTGACATATTTTTATTGTTGTGTGTATGTTTTATATTTTGTAATGTTGAATTTATTTATTGAGTTATTTATGTTTTATAATGTACATGTGTAAATGATATCATTATGTTTAATTGGGTTATATATATATATTAGTTAATGCAATAT